ATAACCCGGGTTTTTGGGGCCCCTGGTTAGGGCTGAAAAACATTTCCTGCACTCAGGACAGGAATATGGCTTTTCACCTGCATGAGACCTCTTATGTCTGACAAGTTTTGAGTTTTCTACAAAACATTTCCCACACTCAGGACAAGAATATGGCTTCTCACCTGTGTGCAATCTCTGATGTGTGTAAAGACTGGACTTATGTGAAAAACATTTCCCGCACTCAGGACAGGAAAATGGCTTCTCCCCCTTGTGTGAGATCTCTGATGTCTGCAAAGACTGGACTTCTCTGAAAAAGATGTCCCGCACTCAGGACAGGAATATGGCTTTTCAACTGCATGAGACTTCTGATGTCTGACAAGTTTTGATTTTTCTACAAAACATTTCCCACACTCAGGACAGGAATATGGTTTTTCCCCCGTGTGCAGTTTTTGATGTTTGTGATAAAAGGACTTGTCTGAAAAACATTTTCCGCACTCGGAACAGGTATACGGTTTTTCTCCTGTGTGAACTCTCAGATGTGTGACAAGATGTGATTTTTGTACAAAATATTTCTCGCACTCAGGACAGGAATATGGCTTCTCGCCCGTGTGGTATGTTGTATGATGTATTTGTAGATGGGATTTTTGTGAAAAACATTTTTTGCACTGAGGGCAGGAAAATGGCTTCTCCCCTGTGTGAGCTCTTTTGTGCACATTAAGATTATGTTTAAAACGGAAACATTTCCCGCACTCAGAACAGGAATGTGGCTTTTCCACTGTGTGACATCTTTTATGGACATTAAGATGTGATTTGGAGTCAAAAACATTTCCCACACTCAGCACAAGAATGAGGCTTCTCCCCTGTGTGAGATCTTGTATGGGTGTTAAGACGGGATTTAAATGGAAACATTTCCCGCACTCAGTACAAGAGAAGCTCTTCCTTGTTGGAAGGCCGGCCCGGTCCCGCACAGTCTGAGGTTCCTCAGGATACGAGGAATCCAATGGTCCATCTACACTAGGTGGTACCGGATGGACATTGGAGGGAGCCGGGTTTTCTCCTGGACTATACTGTGTGATGTCCTCATCTTCTACTTTCCAGTCTGGAGACAAAGTGAGACAATCCTCGGAGGTTTTCCTCATCTCCCAGCCATGGACTAAAATACAAAGACAAAGAGGATTACTAGACAAGAGCTGATTGGTTCCCCCAAACCGGGACTCCACCCACATCAGGCAGCTTGGTCTCTGAGGAGCTTACAATTCCACCCTCAAGGGAACTAGTAAAAACAATCAGGTCAACCCTACCTGAGGTCACATGGCAGCAAGTGTCAGGTGTGGCAGTCTGCTTCCAGCCTGGCTGGTGCAATCCAGTCCCAGGAAAGGACCTGAAGCCATGTGCTCTCAGAATATAAATACCACTCCCAGCATGCAATGTGACTGCCTTCCCCTGCAATTTGGCCAGGGCCGCATCCATATTCATGCTGGTCATTTGACTAGCCCCTACCCATGTTCTGGAAGGCTCTTATAGCTTCCTGAAGGCGGGCAGAACGCCGACAAACTCCAACAGAACCAAAAACAGCATGAGCAGACCTGACTAATCAATCACAGCTCTCTGTAAAGCAGAATACCGACTGAATTTACCTGTCAGCCTCTCTGGTGAGCAGAGAAATACAGCTATGCATTTACCTGACTCTACACATCCCCAGACCTGACCAGGAGGGGGCTACATCACATCATTATCACCATGTAAAAGTCTGTGCTCCAATCACATCATCCGATATAAAATGTCCAGCTGGGAGGAAATGGGAGCAAAATAAATAAGGCCAATGTAATGTACAACTTATTGTATAGGAAACAACAGTTAGGACTGTATAGTATCAGAATGATGTAATGTACAACACAGAGTATATAGAGCAGGGGTCAGGAGTATGTAATGTACAACATAGAGTATATAGTGCAGGGGTCAGGAGTATGTAATGTACAACATAGAGTATATAGTGCAGGGGTTAGTAGTATGTAATGTACAACACAGAGTATATAGTGCAGGGGTCAGGAGTATGTAATGTACAACATGGAGTATATAGTGCAGGGGTCAGGAGTATGGAATGTACAACATAGAGTATACAGTGCAGGGGTCAGGAGTGTGTAATGTACAACAGAGTATACAGTGCAGGGGTCAGAAGTGTGTAATGTACAACAGAGTAATACAGTGCAGGGGTCACGAGTGTGTAATGTACAACAGAGTATAAAGTGCAGGGGTCAGGAGTATGTAATGTACAACAGAGTATATAGTGCAGAGGTCAGGAGTATGTAATGTACAACATAGTAGTATATATTGCAGGGGTCACAAGTGTGTAATGTAAAAACATAGAGTATATAATGCAGGGGTCAGGAGTATGTAATGGACAACATAGAGTATACAGTGCAGGGGTCAGGAGTGTGTAATGTACAACAGAGTATATAGTGCAGAGGTCAGGAGTATGTAATGTACAACCCTATAGAGTATATATTGCAGGGGGTCACAAGTGTGTAATGTAAAACATAGAGTATATATAGTGCAGGGGTCAGGAGTATGTAATGTACAACATAGAGTATATAGTGCAGGGGTCAGGAGTATGTAATGTACAACATAGAGTATATAGTGCAGGGGTCAGGAGTATGTAATGTACAACATAGAGTATATAGTGCAGGGTCAGGAGTATGTAATGTACAATATAAATTATACAGTGTAAGGTCAGGACTCTTATTTCAGAGAGAAATCCAGGAATACAGGACGGAGAACACAGCTCAGGAAAGTGACCAGGGGATTACAGGCTGATATCACCCAGTCCCCGCCCTACTCTGGACCAATCAGTGAGCAGTATGGGTGGAGGGAATGGATTTAGTGTTCATGACCCACCTGTGCTGATCTCTGTAGGAGTGTCCTCCTCTATAAATGTCCCCGTTATTCCATCCTCCTCCATAGACTGCTGATCATCCCTCACATACGCCTCTTCTTCTTCTGCTTTCACCTCAAATTCTATATCGATTGGATCTCCACTCTAAATCAAGGAAATGAGAGAAAATATCATCTGTAAAATATAAGGTCTCATAAAATATCCACAGTTCATGGTCTAGATGTTCTGTCCCACCAACCTTGTAATGGTGAGGGATGGTGTGACCTTCCTGTGTGGAATCCCGGGAATACAGAGGACGGGGACATCTCTCTGGTGGGTTCCTGGTATTAGGTGGCTCCATCATATCCTTGTGTCCTTCTGAAAACTCCTCCATCACTCCATACTCCTCATCCTCCTCTTTATACTCTTCTTTAACAATATTATCATCCCCGAGGATTCCACTCTGAAAGATATAATAAAACATTCATTGTAACAAACATGCTGTGTATAAATCACAACTACCAATAATTGTCATCATCTACCTGATGATGGTGAGGGATGGTGTGACTTTCCTGTGTGGAATCCTGGGAATACAGAGGACGGGGACATCTCTCTGGTGGGTTCCTGTAGCTGGATGACTCCACCATGGTGTCCTGGTACAGATCTTTGTGTTCTTTTAGAATCTCTGACTCCTCCATCCCCCCATACTCATCCTCCTCCTCTCTTTATCTCTTCTTTAACCTCAACTTTAGGATCTCTCAGGTTTCCACTCTGAATATATAATAAAAATGACATCAATGGTAACAATGTAGATAATGTACAGATCCTAATGTTATACTATCAGTGATTGTTCCTCATCTACCTGATGATGGTGAGGGATGGTGTGACCTTCCTGTGTGGAATCCCAGGAATACAGAGGACGGGGACATCTCTCTGGTGGGTTCCCATGACTGGATCCATCTGTAGCAAACACACACACTGACTGAATCCATTGTTTCTATGTGTTTATCAGATGATGGGGGATCTAGGTGGATCCTCCGTACTGCTCTCTCCTTTACAATAAAGTCTCCTCTTACCCGGTGATGTGAGGGGCGGCTGATTGTCCATCATGACGTCCTTGTAGAGATCCTTGTGTCCTTCTAAAATACTCCCACTCCTCCATGGAGAAATAGACAGTGACACCCTGACACCTTATAGGAACCTGACACACACAATGATACAGTCACCATCCAGACACATCCCTTGTCTGTTACTGGAGAATGTCCCAGAATTCCCGGCACCGCTCACCTCTCCTGTCAGCAGCTCCATCATCTTCTTGGTGACTTCTAGAATCTTCTGCATGTTGTGTCTCTCAGGGTTTAGGGAGTCACATGGAGGCACTGTGATGGTCATAATGATCACCTGACTTCAGAAGAGGAAATCTCTGTATTGAGGAATCAATAGGAATATCATGTTAGAATCCCAGAATCCTCCTCACCTCTCCGGTCAGGTCTGTGTTTTATTAATAGAGATAAGAGTGATGTCATGTGACCTCCCAGAATCCTCCTCACCTCTCCGGGTCAGCAGGTAGATGATCTCCAGGGTGAGGTTTAGTATCCTCTCAGTCATGTGACTCACGGTCCTCCTCCATCCTCATTGGTGTGGTCATGTGATCTATATGGGTGTCTCTATAGATGATGATTAACAGAGGATTATCTGGACTGTATTGGTTGTACAATATTAGGAGGGGAATATAAGTGGTAAAAAGTAAGAATGCCTCCAGTGGGAATTAGCACAAGACTGGGTTTCTTAGAAGATCTATCTAAAAACAACATTTGTATAATCATTCATCAAGATTTCCTTTCTAATAAAGATTATTTTATTATGTGCAGTAGTAAAATACCTCATCGAGGTCACTAGAAATAATATGTCTTTGTAACAATTGATACAATGTAACAATTCTGGAGAACACTAGAGGGAATAACAAATAACAACTAATGGGTGTGCAGCATATACATGTTGGTGAAAAGTGGGTGTATGCAGCCTGTCATCACCATACAGTAAACAGTGAGCAATAAAAACTCTACACCTCCCCCATCACTATAGTATAAATACAAGCCAGGCTGTCCATTCACCTCCATCAAAATACTACAAAGACAGAGACCTCATGTGAGAGGTGGATTTGCTGCACAGGGAGACAGTGGGGGAGAGCAACTGCTGCACAGGGAGATAGTGGACGGGAAGCAGTTACTGCATGGGGAGATAGTAGGTGGAGAGCAGTTGCTGCACAGGGAAATAGTAGGAAGAGAGCAGTTGGTGCACGGGAGATAATAGGGGGAGAGCAGTTGCTTTATGGGGAGATAGTAGGAAGAGAGCAGTTTCTGCACGGGGAGATAGTGGAAGGAGAACAGTTTCTGCATGGGGAGATAGTGGGGGAGGAGCAGTTGCTGCACGGGGAGATAGTAAGAGGGGAGAAGTTGCTGCATGGGGAGATAGTAGGAGGGGAGCAGTTGCTGCATGGGGAGATAGTAGGAGGAGAGCAGTTGCTGCACAGGGAGACAGTGGGGGGGGGAGACAGGTTAGGGGGAGAGCAGTTGCTGCACGGGAGGACAGTAGGGGGGAGAGCAGTTGCTGCACGGGGAGACAGTAGGGGGAGAGCAGTTGCTGCACGGGAAGACAGTAGGGGGAAGTTAGTTGCTGCACGGGGAGACAGTGGGGGGAATTCAGTTGCTGCACGGGGAGATAGTGGGAGGAGAACAGTTGCTGCACGGGGAGACAGTAGGGGAGAGCAGTTGCTGCACGGGGAGACAGTAGGGGGAGAGTAGTTGCTGCACGGGAAGACAGTAGGGGGAGAGCAGTTGCTGCACGGGAAGACAGTAGGGGGAGAGCAGTTGCTGCATGGGAAGACAGTAGGGGGAGAGCAGTTGCTGCACGGGGAGACAGTAGGTGGAGAGCAGTTGCTGCACGGGGAGACAGTAGGGGGAGAGCAGTTGCTGTGAGACATAATGGTAGTAGGGCTGTACAAACTAGAAGCAGGGTACACCGACCATCTAATGCAGCCACAGCACACACAGGTGGATGATGAATGGCTGAATAAGTGACCAATCATCTCCCACTCCTTCACAATGGTCTTGGGTCAAACAGTTCAAAAATGATAATGAAAATCAAATTCCATCCTGTCTAGATAGACGACTCCGGACAGAAACCGTTCAGTGATCTCTCATGACATTATACATAATAAATGTTCTCACAACAGCCGTGTCGTCTCTCATCATTTATTGAGGCAAACAGTAAAACTCCATCATCACTCCCTAAGAAAATACAAAATTTCTCCCCAAAAGGCATATAGACCCCCCATTCCCCTCCCCCATACATATCTTTATCTAAGCCCCCATGACAATAGCCCCCTATGACTCAACACAACCAGAATATTGGCCAATTTTTTTACATACCAGATCCTCTCCTCCCGCAGGCTCCTCTGGGTTGTAACAACCGGTCCATGCAGCCTCTCCTCCCCTATACTCTGTTGGTTGCAGGTTCTGTGATGTCATCAAGACCAATGCAGAGCCCATAGCCCCTCACTGGACAGGAAGAGGGACAGTCCACTGCCAGAGTGTAGGGGGAGTAGAGGAGAGTGCTGACAGCCGGGGGAGCAGAGGATCAGATATATAAAAGAACTTTTCCTGGTCCCCTACACCTAAACTGCCATTTACCTCTTGGAGTTGGGGGGCTTCTGTTATGCGAGGGTTACATGTTCATCCAGAGGCGGGTGACACCATGAATGGCGCAATGCGCTGTGCGTTCCTGTGTGATTCACATATCCGGGTGCAGTGCGATTTCACTGGATTCCTTTGAATGGGCTGAAAGTGAGGCGGAGCGCAGCAGAAGTAGTGCATGTACTACTCTACAAAACCCTTCTGTACCATGCCATCCAGTGCAGGCAAACGCACCGCATTTGTCACCTGCGTCTGTGATGTCATCAGCATTGTACTGACACCCTGCATCAGTACAGGACGGACGTGACTATGGAGGAAGAGGACGGACATGACTGAGGAAGACGACGGACATGACTGAGGAAGAGGACGGACATGACTAAGGAGGAAGAGGACGCACGTGACGATGGAGGAAGAGGACGGATGTGACTATGGAGGAAGAGGACGGACATGACTATGGAGGAAGAGGATGGACATGATGGGGGTTAATGGTTGTAAATAGAACATAACATCTTATTACCTTCTCTGCTGCCACTTCCACCAACGTCTCCTCTCTACTTCCTGTCTGTACCTGACATCACTTCCTGTCTGTCCCTGACATTACATCCTGTCTTCCATATAGACTTCCTGTCTGTAATATATTTCTGTCCCCCTTGGTGGGAGTGGAGGTGACCCCTCTATAAGGATCTACCGTCCATACACACCCAGCACAAGGCCGGGGTCACACCACCAGACGCTTCTCGGGGCTGCAGTTCCTCTGAGCTCCACAAGGTGGGGATCTCACTTCTACCCAGACAGGAAGTCTCTATGGAAGACAGGAAGTGATGTCAGGCACAGATCGGAAGTGATGTCAGGTACAGACAGGAAGGGATATTAGGGACAGTCAGGACTTCCATGTGGTACAAGGTGACATTCCTGGATCTGGCAGCAGAGGAGGTAATACCCAGATGAACCCCTTCAGGGGGAGGAGTTGATGATAATATATTTTCTCCCAAAGCTGGCCTACATGGTTCAGTTTTATCGTTCAGCCAGCGGGATGACCATAAAAACTGAAGTGATTCCCCCATCCACACATTGGAGGTGGAGGGGGGATCCTCCCCGCTGCACTCTTGTATTCTGACAATGGGGGGACTCCTCCGCTCTCAGAATACACGGATCAGCACTGAAGCTATTGGCTGCAGCCGCTGGGGGAGTGGCTTTTATCCGGCAGTGACCACACATGGATGGAAATGTGAGCGATCCCTGCTGAACCAGCTGAATTTCCATGGATCTATGGTCACCTTCAGTGACTTCCTCCCCTCCCCCTCATCTCCTTCATGATGGAAGTCATGCTGAGATCATCTCCCATTGGCTGAGCAATATTCTCATTTGTCTCTCAGCTCCTTCTTGCTATTCCTCGTCCTGCCTGTTGTTTCCTTGGATTGATTTTCTGTGTAGTGACCCCGGCTTGGTCTCTTGGATGCGCTCGTCTGTTGCTTGCCCTGACCTTTCTCCTGATTCCTGGATCTCCTCCTCATCTCTCCTCCATATCCTCTTACACAGCTTTTCTCCACACCTGCAGTGACCCTGGGGGGAGGAAACTTGGCACCAGCACGCCGCCAAATCCATCCCCACCATTAGGGGCTCTGGAGACAATTGTCTGCTATTTACACTCCGTTCCTCCGCACGTCACCTGATCACATGACAGCTTACTTCCACAGATTCCGGACAGATTTCTGGATGGTAAAGGTCAAAGTTCACTCTTCAGTTTAGGAGAGGTAGGACGCACCCAGGAACAAGGATTTGGTTTGCATGGAAGCCTCATATAGAGGACCCCTCAAATCTCCCCATCCAAATGTCCTCCATCCAGAGTCTATATGTCCTATGACATCACACTGACCTCACAGCTCCTCCTCCCAAAATACCTCCATCCAGCTCATTTTTCTTTTTTTCTGGTGCTCTTAGGATGTGGGCGGACCCTTTACATCCTCACAACCAAAGCAGAACTGTTGATCCTTCATTTTATGTAATGATGTCAGAATTCTTATACCTCAGCCTGAAGTGGGGCTTTAATAAAATGGAGATGTGAATGGAGAGGTGAGGAGGATTCTGGGAATATCATTTGATGTGACTATTTGTGTTCAGATGTGTAGAGTTTTCCTCCTGTGAAGTCTGGAGATCATATGACATCACATTGCCTCCACCTCCCTCCCTGATAGAAGAGAGAAAGAAGAAGAAGATTCTAGAAGTCACCAGAGAGATCACTGAGCTGCTGACAGGAGAGGTGAGCGGTGCCGGGAATTCTGGGACATTCTCCAGTAACAGACAAGGGATGTGTCTGGATGGTGACTGTATCATTGTGTGTGTGTCAGGTTCCTATAAGGTGTCAGGGTGTCACTGTCTATTTCTCCATGGAGGAGTGGGAGTATTTAGAAGGACACAAGGATCTCTACAAGGACGTCATGATGGACAATCAGCCGCCCCTCACATCACCGGGTAAGAGGAGACTTTATTGTAAAGGAGAGAGCAGTACGGAGGATCCCACCTAGATCCCCCATCATCTGATATAAACACATAGAAACAATGGATTCAGTCAGTGTGTGTGTTTCCTACAGATGGATCCAGTCATGGGAACCCACCAGAGAGATGTCCCCGTCCTCTGTATTCCCGGGATTCCACACAGGAAGGTCACACCATCCCTCACCACCATCATCAGGTAGATGAGGAACAATCACTGATAGTATCATTAGGATCTGTACATTATCTGCATTGTTACCATTGATGTCATTTTTATTATATATTCAGAGTGGAAACCCTGAGAGATCCTAAAGTTGAGGTTAAAGAAGAAATAAAAAGAGGAGGAGGATGAGGATGGGGGGATGGCCAGAGTCAGAGCTTCTAAAAGAACACAAAAATCTGTACCAGGACACCATGGTGGAGTCATCCAGCTACAGGAACCCACCAGAGAGATGTCCCCGTCCTCTGTATTCCCGGGATTCCACACAGGAAGGTCACACCATCCCTCACCATCATCAGGTAGATGATGACAATTATTGGTAGTTGTGATTTATACACAGCATGTTTGTTACAATGAATGTTTTATTATATCTTTCAGAGTGGAATCCTCGGGGATGATAATATTGTTGTTAAAGAAGAGTATAAAGAGGAGGATGAGGAGTATGGAGTGATGGAGGAGTTTTCAGAAGGACACAAGGATATGATGGAGCCACCTAATACCAGGAACCCCCCAGAGAGATGTCCCCATCCTCTGTATTCCCGGGATTCCACACAGGAAGGTCACACCATCCCTCATCCCCTCAAGGTTGGTGGGATGGAGCATCTAGAACATGAACTCATAGGGTTTTTTTTTACTAAAGCTGGTTCACTCAGGATCTGGTGCACTGTGCATGGCAGCCAATCAGCTTCATGTTCAATTAAACTGTATCAATAAAACCTGGAAGCTGATTGGTTTCCATGCAGAAGTGCACAATATTCTGAGTGAAGCCGCTTTAGTAAATAAACCCATAGAGACAATGTGTGGAGTTTTTTTTATTTTTTTTTATATTTTACAGATGATATTTTCTCTCATTTCCTTGATTTAGAGTGGAGATCCAATCGATATAGAATTTGAGGTGAAAGCAGAAGAAGAAGAGGCGTATGTGAGGGATGATCAGCAGTCTATGGAGGAGGATGGAATAACGAGGGACATTTATAGAGGAGGACACTCCTACAGAGATCAGCACAGGTGGGTCATGAACACTAAATCCATTCCTCCACCCATACTGCTCACTGATTGGTCCAGAGTAGGGCGGGGACTGGGTGATAACAGCCTGTAATCCCCTGGTCACTTTCCTGAGCTGCGCTCCCCATCCCACCTGATGTGGGCAGAGTCCTGGTTTGGGGGAACCAATCAGCTCCTGTCTAGTAATCCTCTTTGTCTTTGTATTTTAGTCCATGGCCGGGAGATGAGGAAAACCTCCGAGGATTGTCTCACTTTGTCTCCAGACTGGAAAGTAGAAGATGAGGACATCACACAGTATAGTCCAGGAGAAAACCCGGCTCCATCCAATGTCCATCCGGCACCACCCAGTGTAGATGGACCATCGGATTCCTCGTATCCTGAGGAACCTCAGACTGTGCGGGACCGGGCCTGCCTTCCAACAGGGAAGAGCTTCTCCTGTACTGAGTGCGGGAAATGTTTCTGTTATAAATCCAAACTGAATGTGCATAAAAGATCTCACACAGGAGAGAAGAAGCCATATTCCTGTCCTGAGTGTGGGAAATGTTTTATACAAAAATCACATCTTGTCACACATCAAAGGCTTCATACAGGGGAGAAAACCGTACTCCTGTTCTGAGTGTGGAAAAATGTTTTTCAGACAAATCCTTTTATTACAGACATCAAAGACTGCACACAGGTGAGAAGTCATATACCTGTCCTGAGTGTGGGAAATGTTTTGTAGAAAAGGCAAAACTTGACACACATCAGAGATCTCACACACGGGTGAGAAAGCCGTATTCCTGTCCTGAGTGTGGGAAATGTTTTTCAGATAAGTCCAATTTTTACAGACATCAGAGATTGCACACAGGTGAAAAGCCGTATTCTTGTTCTGAGTGCGGGAAATGTTTTGCAGAAAAAATCAGAACTTGTAAGACATCTTAGGTCTCATACTGGGGAAAGGCCATTTTCCTGTTCTGAGTGCAGGAAATGTTTTTCACTTATGTCTCATCTTAACAAACATCAGAGATCCCACACAGAGGACAAGCCACTTGCCTTTTCTAAGTGCAGGAAAAATTTTTTCAAGAAAGTCCAGTCTTTAAATTCATCAGAAATGTCACACAGATGAAAAAAGCTGTATTCCTGTTTTGAGTGTGGAAAATGTTTTTCAAGGAAGTCTAATCATCACAAACATCAGAGATCTCACACCGGGGAGAAGCCGCATTCCTGTCCTGAGTGCGGGAAAATGTTCCTCACTGAAGTCCTGTCTTCCTGTACATCAGGGGTCCCACACAACCCTGGAGGTGTATTAGTGCCTTGAGTGCGGGAAATGTCTTTTAGATGAATGTTGCTGGACATCCCAGCTCTCATGTGGGTAAGAAGCACACCCTGATATACTCCATGGCTGATTTTCATCATGAAAGAAACAGTTCATAAGGAGATCAGAGGTCCCCAAAGACATGGATGAAGTGTAGGACCGGGTTTGGCCATTGATGGCTGGAGAAGAAATAAAAATGGAGTCCTGCCCTGTCAATGGCTGAGTACATTTTGTGGTGGGAGATTTCACAAACACTTGGAGGTCTTGTCACACTTACCTCTAACACAGGTGGTCAGACACTATATCTGGCTTCTGTGGTCCTTACCTATAGCAGCCCCTTTCCCATAAGGCAGGCAGGCCTACTGGTACTCGGTGCCCCCAGGACTGATACACAATGCTATAGTGCCTGGCTACCACACCAGAGCAGGTGCAAACTGAGCACAGCAACAGGCACTTGCATGTGTCAGGCAGAATGGTTCAATGACAGCCCCAGGTACAAGGTGAGTTCATCTCCCGAAATGTGTCAGTTTCCCAACCGGGCAGTATTTGGGACAGGACCCCATTGTCTGGGACTGAAGATCTGGCTCTATGTCTGTATTTATGGTCGGCTTGTGAGATTCCATTTGTGATCTATCTTTTAATAAATGTGATATTACGGTAATGCACCCTCTTGTGTGCTGTCTTTGACAATTCCTAGATTCCCCCATCTGTGGAGGGCTGCACTTCATCAAGTGACAGATACCGTGTGGAATTGTGAAGCACCAAGATTTGAGCACTGTTGTGTTTGGCAACATTTGATTGACAAGGCAGGCAATATTCAGAGTAATCAGGGTCTAATCACTAGTGCAAAGACAGGCAGAGTTCAGAGAGTAGTTGATATCTGATCCAAGGTCATAAACAAAGGAATCCAAACAGCAGAGCAGGACAGACAGGGAGCTTGAACATGTATTACACACGCTATCACAAGCATGAGACTGCAGGTTTGGCTGGCTTAAATCAGGTTTGGTCTCCACCCAGAGACTGGCTGCATCATAACTAAAACCAGGATGCTGTAATGAGACCATCAGCTGTGATGGATTGGGGGTACTAGAAGCTTCTGACATTAACCTCCCTCTGAAGAGGGGCCCACAGACCCTTAAAGGCATGTTGGGAATCCAGCAAAGGACCATTATGTTGGGCAATGGTCAGGGGATCATCAAAGTCAGGTTCGTTAGTAGGTATAGAGTTTATGGAGCCAAACTGGACAGCAGAGAACCTGTAACAGGTTGGATAGCAGGTGACATGGTACTGCAGTCAAGCTGGAACGCAGGCTGGATGCAGAGTGGACTGAAGAAAAAGTTGTGGGCCCCAAATGGCTGAATGAGGCAGTTTATCCAAAAGCTGGATGGAACTTCTTAGACAGGTTTGAGCAAATATAGTTATAGTAGGGTGAGGCCCGGTTACTGAAAGTTCCAAAAAATGAAAGAGCAGGAGGCTCAATTGGCCTGGGCTGAACCAGAACAACTGGTGCGGAGGTAGGCTAGACCACACTGGCCGGTGTAGAGACAGACTAGACCACACTGGCAGGTGTAGAGACAGCAGAACTTGAGGACAAGTTAGCCTGGACATGCATCCAAGGGTGTTTATGGACAGGCAAAGGAAGGGGTAATCCAGAGTGTTGGACTTTTGAGGACTTCAGTAAGCACAGATTTTGCAAGCTCTTACATAGAAACAGGATTCCTTATGGAGAGAGGGCCACTAAAGCCCAGGAGAAACTAAAGAAAAGGTTTTAGTACTCCCTGGGAGCTCGGCTGTCTTAGCTAGATATGCTTCTGAAAGCAAACGGCTTTCCAGGGGTAGAATAAGCAGACCACTAGACGGGGCCTAAACATAGTTTAAAAGTTCAGGGGAAGGGCCATTTTCTTGGCTTATTGGGGCAGCTGGTGACAACGTGGCCATGGTCCTCACAGTATAAGCAGAGGCCCTGAGATCTTCTAGCCTTTTCCCCAGAAGATAAAGGATAGACCTAACCTGAAATGGCTTCTTGGAGGCGGGGCCTTCCACCCTGAGTCACCAGAAACAGGATCAGGGGGGTTAACCCTGGGCTCTGGTTCCTGCATTACTGCTGGAGGTGCGTTTACATGCACAGACAGTTCCTGGACTTGACGTGTCAGTTTGCATATCTCCTCAGCAAATGCATGATCCTGTGTAGAGTCCATCTTCACAGAAACATGTTCTTGTTAAAGACTTGTGATAATGTCACACTTACCCCTAACACAGGTGGTCACACACTATAGATGGCTTCTGTGTTCTTTACCTAAAGCCGCCCCCCTTTCCCATAAGGCAAGCTCAGTTTCTCCCAGGACTTATACACAATGCTATAATGCCTGGCTACCATGCTGGGGCAGGCGTGAACTGAGCACACAGGTACTTGAGGTTGGCAGACAGGCAGATTGGAGCAATGACAGTCCAGGTAAAAGGCAGGCAAGACTTGGGGTACTCAGGGTCAGAACCATAGTTAAAGGCAGGCAGAGTTTAGAGAGTAGTAGATATCTGATCCGAGGTCATCAGCGAGGGAATCCAAACTGGCAAACAGGGAGATTGGAACATGTGTTAAAAACACAATATAACAAGCATGGGACTGCAGGCTTGGCTGGTTTAAATCAAGTTTAGTCTCCACCCAGAAACTGGCAACATCTATCAACTGTCAGTTGGACAGACACACAGGGAGAATGTATTACATCCAAAACCAGGATGCTGGAATGAGACCAGCAGCAATGATGGAGGAGTGCTAGATGCTTCTGACAATTGTCCAAATGTGACCATTGGCCATATGTAGTCAGTGATGTCACTGCTATCCCCACCCCCTTCCTTACATGGCAGGGATTCCCAATGACATCACTGATTCCTGGGGATTTGGCAGTTACAAGTATCCGTTGCTTCTTTAGGCCCCAGTGCAGGAAGCTGTTATATATAAACGTGCATTTGGTTTCAATTTGTTTTTTATATGAAAGTTTCATTTTCAGAGATTGAGATGTACAGCAATCTTCTGGAAAAACCACCAACTTTATCAAATCCACCCGAACCAACGAATATACAAAACAAATGCTGGAAATACAAAACAAATTCTGAAGATGAGTTGGGCCAACATAACGAAGGGGATTGAATGAAATTCTTCAATGAACGAATGTATCCAAACTAAATGGAAATCTCCAGTATGGACACGCCTAGTTATATAAGAAAAATTAATAATAGTGCCTATGGTCAAAATTATATAACTTACTAATAGTGTACCAGCTGCAAAAAATCACCATATATAAAGTGTACCAATAAATAATTTGCGCTAGTAAATGTGTATAATATATAAAAATATATATAAAGAAATCATCAAATCATAAGTCCAGAAAAAAATATATATATGGCAATACCACAAAAAAAAAATACAAAAAAAACTTTTAAGTGCAAAAAAACTTTTGTGCAAAAAAAGTGTCTAAATATGAAAAATTTCACCAAAAAACCTTGATAATATAATGGCAGATCATCCATAAATATATCTTCAGAAACGGAAACTCTGCAGCACACCGATCCTCATCGATCGAAATAACAGGATGAAAAACTTTGTAGTTAATCGAAAATCCACTTCTCCAATAGATAAAGGACCACCTTCAAACGTATCCATGGGGGGGAAATGCCAAGCACTCGAGAGAAACAGAAAGATTTCATGGTGCAATATTATAAAAACCAATTCCTTTATGAACTAAATTCCTTGCAACCATTTGGGTTAAATGTCGATATAGATTTGAATTGTTTTCTCACAAATTTTTAATTTTTATGTTATTTTAAGTATATTTTTATATAGGCAACTGTTTAAAGATGATATATGGGAGATTGTATGTTTTTTGTACAATTTTTGCATTATTTTTGTATTATCACTAGAGTTCCCCTTTATTTGTGTGTTGAAAGTGTTACTGGCCCTTTAAGTTCCCTTTTTGAAACACAGTCTTAGAGGGTGCTGGCCCGTTAATGTATTTACTTATTTAATTTATTTATTATTAGTGTTTTATTTAAATTTCTTTTTATTCTATTTTTGTTCTCTTGTTTTAAAGTTTTTTTGCTTGTGATGGCAAATATATTGGATACATTGTATATCCTTTGTGGACTCCTGTCATCTGTGGGGCGGCTTGCTTTGCTTTGATTCCCCATTGATGTCAGCTGTTCGTTTCCTGTGAGTGAATATTTAAGGAGGTTGAGACGTCTCACATCTATCCGCTCCGTGAGGACGTCGATGACGAAACGCGTAGGGCGGAGCTTGATTGATGTGACGTCATTACATTTTTGGCTGCCAGCTACTGCGCATGTGCTGAGTAGCCAGGCTCTTTTATGTGATTGCTGTTATGCTGTTGATGCTGGTGTCGGCTGGGACACCTCTTGAGTAAGTGCAATGAGTACCTAATAAAGGAATTGGTTTTTGTAATATTGCACCATGAAGTCTTTCTGTTTCTCTCGAGTGCTTGGCATTTCCCCCCATGGATACGTTTGAAGGTGGTCCATTATCTATTGGAGAAGTGGATTTTCGATTAACTACAAAGTTTTTCATCCTGTTATTTCGATCGATGAGGATCGGTGTGTTGCAGAGTTTCCGTTTCTGAAGATATATTTATGGATGATCTGCCATTATATTATCAAGGTTTTTCGGTGAAATTTTTCATATTTAGACACTTTTTTTGCACAAAAGTTTTTTGCACTTAAAAGTTTTTTTTGTATTTTTTTGTGGTATTGGCATATATATATTTTTTTCTGGACTTATGATTTGATGATTTCTTTATATATATTTATACACATTTACTAGCGCAAATTATTTATTTATTGGTACGCCTAGTTATATATAGAAGTGGTAGAAATGTCTCCTCTATATGTGATGATCGGCTCCTGCAAAACACGGGACCGGAACAGGCAAAGTTTGG